TGTATTTGGAACTATAAAAGTTGTTTTCACTTGCATTTAATGGAGTTCTCCTGAATTTATGATGCAAGGTGTTAACGGAGATTCCAGTATTTATTATGGCTGGTGAGTGGAGATTAACAGAAGAAAAATAAAAATTTGAACCAGAAAAAGGAAGATATGGTCGGTGTGTACGTGTTAGAGAAAACATGACGTACACAGATTTGTCACGTACATTATGTGAGGTTTTCAATTAGAAGTCCAGTGAATGCAATCCAATAATTAGTTACTGGATGCTGGGAAATATGTCAATGATGATAGAACGTACACGCCCTCCTGTCTACATTGACAATCAAATGAGCCTGGATACATTCTTTTTGATTCGTGTTGGAGATCCTAGTGTAAACTTGTTTGTGTCTTTTAGTACAACCGTCAAGGCATGCATGAATAATATTTCTACAATGGATGGCCATGATGCTAAAACGAGCCCTGGGTCGGGGAGTGAAAACTCACCAAAAACCATGGTAGAGCCTTCAAATGTGGATGCCACTAATGCGGACGTAGATGAGCAAAATAACGTTGAGGACGATATAATAAATGATGATTCAAAGGATGAAGAGAACGGAGAGGTGGATGGGAAAGACTTGAATGACAGCGACGACAACATTGATAAAGATGACGATGACAACGGTGTATATAGTGGGGAAAGTACTCTCGACCTACTACAGACGGCATTGAAGGTAGTGGTAAATATTACGATTACAACAAGTGGAGTGATTTGATTGTAGAAGAATATGGAGTTGGGCATGTTGAGGAGGACGTCAGTGACACTCAACCGACCGTGGAACCGCTAGAGAATTCAGTCGTATATTGGCAGAATGTACGTACACAAGTCAACGTGTACGTACGGGAGAAACCAGTGCTATTTTCAGTGACAGTCAGCCAACTATGAATCCAACCAGCACGTGTCGACATGGATTGCACCAATGTACGTACACTAGCGACTGTGTACAAGACACAAGATACGAAAGTGAATTTACTACGGATACCAATGTTAATGAAATAGACAAAGTCAATGGAGATGGTGGCGTGGATTATGGTATCAGAGATTCAGCAAGTTGTGTCTTAAATGAAACTGATCTCCGTATAGAAAACACAGTTGAGTCTTTAGTGATGCCTGAGGTTGATGAGTGTTTTCTCCAAGATTTACATGAGTCCGAAAAATTCGCGGTGTAGATGTCTGGACCGTGGGGTTATCAGGTTATAAGCAAGTCTGGTGAGCATTACCATGTAGTACTCGACGAGTGTACGTGTACGTGTCTTAGGTACATGAAGTTACGAATCCTATGTGAACACGGTCTAGCAGCTGCAATACATGCCAGGATTAATCCAAAGATTATTGTTGGTTTGTGGTATAGCCTTCATACGTTTTCTGATTCTTTTCAAGAACCCATTCTACCTATCGCGGATCCAAAAGATATTGTCATCCCACAAAATATATCAGAAATTATAATAATTCCTCCACACAATAGACGACCACCTGGGAGACCAACCAGCAAAAGAATACCATTAGGGATGAAAACCAGGTAAGTAAATCATTTTAACTTGTACACTTATTGACTATATATGTGCTACGTCTATATACATGATTTGTTGTTAACTTTTGTTGTTCTCAAGTTCAGAAAAAACCAGAAAAGACTTATTCCGTATCAGTTTACAAGATGTAGACAAGAAGATCATAACAAAAAGACTTTCAAAAATCCAATTTAGTTTTGTGTGTTTGTTTTTAGTCTACGTGTTGACAGTGTACGTTTATGTGTGTACTTTGTGTACTAAAGTTTATTGCGGTGTACGTTTATTTTTGCTATCCTATAACTATGTACGTTTTTGATCTTATCTGTATACGTTTAGCTTACTGATGGGTGTGATATTTCGCTTCAATCTTTTAACTCAAAAGACCACACGACTACTGCAAGTGTACAATGATTCGTATGTAGTATTTAAAGATCGAATCCCACAGAGATTGAGGTTGCGGCACAAGTCTACTAAGAGAAAGAATATGGAATGTGAAGCACACAATCAACAAGCTTTGGACTTCCAAAATTACTTCAGGAGTTATACTTGACGCAATATTATGGTTGCACTCGTATGCTGGCGGGTTACTGGGAGATATAATCTGAAGCTTGTGAGTCATGGCGCTGTCTCAAAGTTGTTTGCTAATCTGATCATACTAGAAGTCGAAGAGATAAAGATGGTGGTTTATTAATATGAAGGAGTGCTTATTGCTTTGTTGTTTACTGTTTTCTTAAAACTACATTTCTTATTTCTTTAATCTTATTGTTGCAATAAACTACAAACAAATGTTGTTGTTTTCTAGGATGTTAAACTCCCCAAACTTAAATATATGTCAAAATTTATTTGTATTAATTTGTAAGTTTATCATGTCATTCTCAACAAGTGTACGTTCAAAATGAATAATCTGAACATGTGTACGTATATATCATTATGTTGTTGTTACCATTTTGTGGCTGTGTACGGTAATATTAGTTTTTTGAACTATGTACGTATACTGATGAATAAAACATCAAACATTTAATAATTCATATATGTTGTCTTCATAAAATTAAACTTCATTCATTCATAACACGAGTTATGGAAAAGAAAATACAAAGCATAGATCTAAACCAAGAAGTAGAGTATATTCATAAGAAATAAAGTAAAGCTTAGCATAGTCATCATTGTATTCTGAAGTATTCACATTATTTCAGCCTAGAAGATCTTCTTGTTCCAATCTGAACAATATTTCTGCAAGTTATGTGTAATCCAGATCTTCTTGTTCCAATCTGAACAATATTTCTGCAAGTTATGTGTAATCCAGATCTTATTGTTCCAATCTGAAATACTTAGAAAAAGCTTAACCTACCTACAAGTTATGTGTAATAGAAATATTTCTGATTATAATCTCCATAACTAATCAAGCATACAAACACAATAACGAATAAACCCCAATAGCCCATTAATCATATACGATTTTTTTTCGAAAACACTTAAATTAGAAAAAAGTATAACTCCAAATTCGCGTATGTACACAAATTTGTACATAAATCTTCTAAATTATTTTATTGTAGCAGAAAATTAAATTTAATTTGAAAATCCAGAAGTTATAACACACCCTTTGGGATTAAATCTTCGATTCGAAATCAGTATTCCCAGATTTCAAATCCTGAATCTCCATCCCCAAATGAAAATCGAATTCAGTGTTTACGGATACTTACCCAATGAAAATCGAAATCAGTATTCACTTGCCTCTCCGCTGAACTTGTCACTACATTCGAGCGGCGCCGACTTTTCTTCTTCAATAGTCTCGTTTTTTCCTGGTCATCTGTACTCCGGTATCTTAATCGCCGGAAATTAGTTAGTTTTTGCTTGTCCAGGGAAAACCGAAGCAGAATGAGAGATTTAAAGAGGATTCGAAACAGAATTTGCGGGAATTTTGTTGGGTTTTGCTCTTCTCCAGATAATAGACAAAGAATGAGAGATTAGATAGAAGATTGGAAAACGATTTCAACCCAGATTTTTCCTCCTCTTCTCTCCTTCGTTTTCTTCAGTTTCTTTTCGTCGTTCTTCTTTAGATTAATTGTTTTTAATTAAAAATAAATAAAACATAATGAAACAAAAGAAAATAAAATGTGAGAAACTGAACCAGCAAAGTTACGTTTGTAGTTGAGGGCAATTTCGTCTGAAAATTGGCAAATTATCAAAACGTGAAAGCCCACATTCACTTTGTCAATTGGTGAGAGAAAAACTCATTTGTCTCCGTTTTGTGAAAATTTCTTTTTTTAATAAGTAAATTCGCCCGTCTCATCCGTTACCTTTATGTTGTGCTGACTATGCTAAATCATGTTCAATTCAACTTAGTTACAAAATCAAAATAGTAGATATTGATTCCAAAATCAAAAGATACATATATGCAAACTATCTTTCTAACTTTTTTTTTTACTTTAATTTGAATATAATGTTTTAAAAATAAATTCAAAAATTATTTTATATACTCACGTCAGTAAATAATTAAACTACGTAAAAAAGTCTACTTAATAGTTACATAAAATGCAAAGGACTCATGTACAATGAGTATAAATGTATAATACAAAGTGATTTTATAATTTAAAGCATCCAACTATAGTTAATACTAATAGTACGGGTTTTTTAAATCCACTAGATGAACATCCGCACTACGTGCGGATTTATATATTTAACTAATTTTTAAATTATTTAATATAATATTATTTTACGTTATATAACCAAAATCCAGTTATATTATTGCATTTGAAAAACCAAAGAATTTTCAGTTCATTGATTCAATTTTTTAAATGTTATTTTCTTTTGCATTTTTTATATGCTTAGAACATTAAAACTAGGAAATTTTCAAAACTCTCTTTGTTACACTGAAAATATAAAATATAACACAACATCACTATTAAAAATATCTATGCATTATCTCAAAGTAATGGATAGGTTAATTTAGTTGTTGTCACTATCTAATATTCGTATATTGTAGATTCAGAATCAGAAATATCGTGAGAGTTTTTCTATTTAACAACTTGCAAGTTGCTTGTTCTTTTATCTTAAATCTAGAGGAACTTATATATAGGTTGGAGATGTATTTTACTTTTTTCTTTCTAAATGGTCAGAAGAAATATATCTATACTAGCATTAGGTCCGTGCTAATGCACGGACATAGTATTTATTTTATTTTTTACTAAAATCAAAATATATTTTGGCATCAAACATTTATTTTGGTATAATCTAAAATATTTTAATAATTGGAGAATTTAATCAAATACTAATGTACGATAGTATGTATATTTCATAAAGTTGTAACAAAAAACCAAAAATAAAAAATAAGCTACTAATCTAATTAATAAAGAGATAGAGGTGAAAATAAATACACGTGTAAGACAATTGCCAGGTGGAATCTCACTCTCATCTCCCCTATCTCTTTCTCCTGTTCCCTTCAATTACCCAGAAAAGTGAGGGTTTTATGTTGAGAGAGACCATGGAAAAGTGATAAGCAATTAAACGTGAATCAAGGTCAGATTGCTAACGTGTAGACGTAAACACATATATCACAAACAAATGTATTGAAAGGGTAATCTATTAAGCATGACATATTTAATAAGCTTTGACAACTATAACAAAATAAAAAACTGAAATTGGAGATGGTAAATTAAGGATTGATTGAAAATTAAGAGAACACGTTGGATTCCTTTTGGATTGGGTTCAGTTCGTAACTGAATCATGTAACAAAATCATTATGTACTGTAAATGCTTTGTAGATCTAAGGAGAAAGTTAAACACTTATCCAAAACGTAGAAAATTGGATAATACCGAATAAAAATCTGCAATTGTTTTCTGATCTGCCAAGGAAAATGAAACTTTTGAATGCTTGCTTGAGCTTGAAGACGTATTTGGCGAAACTGTAAACACATAAACACATATATTGAAACATTATTTATTAAGCATGATATAAGCAATCATTGACAGCTATAACAAAATTAAAAACTGAAATTGGAGATGGTAAATTGATACCTTTGGGGTGAAAAAAGTAACTGATTTCTGAGACTAATTAATCGATGTATGATGATGAGAAGACCATCTTTTCTTTTATAGATAAGTCATCGAAATTTTGGAGGAGAAGAAGTGGAAGAGGTGGAGATTGTGGGGATGAAAGGAAAAAAGGGTTTTGAGAAAAGAAAAAGCCAAATAAAAACGATTTCCTTTTGTTATAAGTATTAGATATAATCAAAATCCTTCGTGAAAAATGAAAGAGTAAGAAAATTGTACTAAGCTGATGTGTCAATCAGAGAATGCATCAGTTATTGAAAAAGTGACCGTTGATTTAGTATAATTAGATATGTATGTATGAAGAAAAAATGGGAAAAAAATAATTTTAAACTTGTATAATGCACTTAAATCACTCTAATATGTTGTATCCTTAGCAAACTCATTATTCCAAAGAAAACTCATTATTCCTAAGGTCACATGCTTTTTCAAATCATTGGTTCTATTTTCGTGAAAATCTAAAACACTACAAATTAAATAGCTTTACGAATTAGAAAAATTAACTACCATGAAATAACAAACTGCAAGGAATTTTGGCAAAAAAGATAAAACAAATTGCAGGGAACCTTAACCTAATAAAAATTGAGAGGATTTCATTTAAAGGATTAGAAATTAGAACCGATCGACTAAACCTTCCGTCCAGATTTAAGTATGATATTTGGCTGACTGAAAACTACAAATCTACGTCGATATCCCCGGGATGACGTCCTTAAGTTTGTTGTAGAAAATGTGGTCAGAAGTGGTGGGTTGCGTCTGACCACATTTTCTCTTGTCTTTGGTTCTTTTTGACCAAAGACAAGAGACCAACGACTTGATCACAATTTCTCTTGGTGGGTTGTTGTTGTAACCTTTACCACAATTTCTCTTGACCACCTCGACCAACGAATTTCTCTTGTCTTTGGTTCTTCTTCGCCATCGCTCCACCATCTTTAAATCTACTGTAAAGAAAACGAACATGATAGAAGTGAAAAGGCTACAACGTGGATCACATTTATTTGTGTAAATAAAATTTTACACGAAAGCTAATTATAGTGAGGGGGAGGAAAACACTAACCCATGGATACTTAAGTGTAAAATACTTTGCTCCTAGAATCTAAGCATAAGACATCATTTGTTAGGTAGCGATGCACACAATAGTAATTAGGCAACATATGTATTATCTTACTACAAAAGTTCATGATGTAGCTCTATCATCATATCATAGACTAATTAGACGAACACCATTCTACATTTCTAGCTCATTCTACATTAACGCACTTGGAGGTCTTAATTCTGGAGTTTCTCTCCTTCCATATGAGATACACTAAGTTTTGAAAAGCTAACTTGAGAATCAATGCTATGTTCTTGTCACGGCAAGGATTCTTCAACCACCTAACTCAATCCTCAAACATAATTGGAGGACATACATGGGACTTTGAAGTGAAAAGGTAACCAGATTTATGCAGCAATCCCCATTTCTAACAGCATCAGCCACCAGCGCATCTAAAGGTAAACCAGAGATCCAGAGACTATTTTCTCTTGTGAGCTCCACAAGAGGCCCTAAAGAAGTCCAATCATCATTCCAAAAGCTACAAGTAGCTCCCGATCCCAGCTTGCTAACTATGAATTGTCTAACCATATGGTTTTTCGGAATGTTAGACGCAACTAAACAACCTCTATACAAAGGCTGTAGAGGTGGTCATTCGCCTTTATCATCTGCAAGTAGATTAATGACGATAAAGACAGACTACAATTTGGCTGAGGATTGTGTGGATGCGATAGCAGATTTTGTGAAAGACATTTTGCCTGAAGATAATATTTCACCAGCTTCATACTACGAGGTTCAGAAACTGGTAGCTGGTCTTGGTTTACCGTATCAGATTATAGATGTGTGTGTCGACAATTGTATGATATACTGGAGAGAAGACGAAAACCGGAGAAGATGTAAATGGTGTCACAAACCACGATTTCAGGAAACATCTGGCAGAGTTCCAATCCCTTATAAGCGAATGTGGTATCTACCAATAACTGATAGGTTGAAGAGATTATACCAATCAGAACGTACGGCTGAGGCAATGAGATGGCATGCAGAGCATAGAAGAGATGGAGAGATCACGCATCCTTCAGATGCAGAAGCATGGAGACATTTTCAGTCAGTGTATCCGGATTTTGCGTACGAGCGACGTAACGTATACTTGGGATTATGTACAGACGGTTTCAACCCATTTGGGAAGCACGGAAGGCAATATTCGTTGTGGCCGGTAATCCTAACACCTTACAATCTGCCACCATCGTTGTGCATGCGCCGAGAGTTTCTATTCCTCTCAATTCTCGTTCCGGGTCCAGAGCATCCAAAGAGATCACTTGATGTCTTCTTACAGCCATTGATCTATGAGTTGCAAATGTTGTGGGAGCACGGTGTTGAAGCATATGATGTATCATATCAACAGAATTTTCAGATGCGTGCCGTACTAATGTGGACCATAAGCGATTTTCCAGCATATGGTATGTTATCTGGGTGGACAACGCATGGAAGATTATCGTGTCCGTATTGTCAAGATAACACAGATGCCTTCCAATTGAAGCACGGACGGAAGACATGTTGGTTTGATTGTCATAGAAGATTCCTACCTCCCGATCACCCTTATCGTCGCACAAGAAATTTGTTCAAGAAGAATAGGTACGTGTTTGATGATCCACCTCCAGATGTAGATGGTGCGAGTATATTGACTCAATTCAGGGATTTTGGAGCAGCGAGGACTCCTGATGTTGGTGGTAATGGGCATGATCCTGTTGATGGTGCTGGTGTAAATCACAATTGGCACAAACAGAGCATTTTTTGGGATTTGCCGTATTGGAAAGATCTTTTGTTGAGACACAATATAGATTTCATGCACACTGAGAAGAACTTCTTTGACAACATCATGAACACCGCTCTAAACGTCCCAGGGAAGACAAAAGACAATTTGAAGTCTAGATTAGACTTGCCAGATATTTGTTCTCGGCGTGAGCTTGAGGTAATGGCGAACGGGAGATGTCCAATTCCTGTCTATCGGTTAAATGCGGCTTCAAAGATGGCATTCTTCGATTGGATTACCCATGAGGTAAAGTTTCCCAATGGTTACGCATCGAATTTGCGTAATTGCGTAGATATTCGAGAAGGGAAGTTTACAGGAATGAAGAGCCATGATTGTCATGTTGTTATGCAGCGACTTCTTCCATTTGCCTTTGCCCATCTTCTACCAGCAAACATCCATGAAGCAATTGCAGGTACATTTTAGTATTAAATTGCAAATATATCATTATATATAGTAAAACTTCTATAAATTAATAATATTTTGATCTACATAAAACTAATATTTTTAAAATTATATATTTTATAGTTTTAGACTTAAGAATTTAATATTTATAAAAGAAATAATTTTTTAGTACGATGAATAACAAAGATTATGCATGTTCAAATCTATCATTATATATAGTAAAACTTCTATAAATTAATAATATTGGGATTAAAATATTTTATTAATTTATAATGATATTAATTTACTGAAAGTTTTGTTTTGATTGTAAAAATATTTTTATAAAATTATGATTTAAAACATTTGATCTACATAAAACTAATATTTTTAAAATTATATATAGGTTTAATTGTATCTACTATTTTTAATATATATTAAATTTGCTTAAACATGCAGGAATTGGTGCTTTCTTTCGCGACTTATCAAAAAGATCACTTACGGTTGACGGTATCCAAAATTTGGAACGAAATATACCCATTCTTCTTTGCAATCTTGAGAAGATATTTCCACCGTCTTTTTTTGATGTTATGGAACATCTACCTATTCATCTACCGCGAGAAGCAGCACTAGGTGGTCCTGTCCAATATCGATGGATGTATCCTTTTGAACGGTACATGTTTCACCTCAAGAAGAAGGTTAAGAATTTAAGCAAAGTCGAGGGCTCTATTGTGGCACAAAGCATTAATGAAGAAGCCTCACACTTTGCGGAATATTACTTTCCGTCAGAAGTACGTACGAAGAGTCGACGTCCTTCTCGTCATGACGATGGAGGTGAGCAACCAACATATCCTGTCTACGTCCCAAGCTTGTTTACTCAAATTGGACGCCTTAGTGGCAAATGGAAGAATCGAAAACTATCAGAGCAGGAGTATACTCACTTGCATATGTATATTCTCACAAACTGTGAGGATATTCTTGAATATGAGAGGTACGTATTAAAATTTAATTATGTCTAATAATTAAATTGTTATAATTAATGAATATAACTCTAACTATTTTTTTTACAGGATTTACATGGCTGTAGTACGCTCCTATTATCCGGAGTTTACAGAAGATCAAATTGTTGACCTTAAAGAGAAGGAGTTCTCGTCTTGGTTGCAATACTATGTAAGTTATAAAAGTAACTTTAATAATTTCGGTGGTAATTAACCTCTATATTAATTAACTACCATAATAATGTCATAGGTATCAGATGGAGTTTCTAAAGGTCAATCATTTCCAACATGGTTACTAGAGTTCTCTAACGGACCAAACTACATTGCAAAATCCTACCCGAGGTATTGCACAAGAGGATATGCTTTTAGGATTTATGAGGATGGAACTAGGAGGACCACAACTGATTCTGGTATATCTGTTCAAGCTGGTGGTGTTGTATACTACGGTATCCTTAGAGAAATATTGGAAATTCGCTACCCGGGAATGTTGAACATGAGATGCATTGCATTTTTGTGTGACTGGTACGACCCCGTGGTTGGTAGTGGTGTACGAGTTGACCAATTCGGTGTTACATCAATAGACTCAAGACGAAGGTTATTGAAATACGATCCATTTATACTTGCATCACAAGCAGACCAGGTATGTTCATTTATTAACATTCAGTTACAAAATCATAGATGATATAATTAAATATTTCCATTGATTGTTACAGGTATGCTACATCAATTACCCTCGAGTGACGCGCGTCAACGACCCATGGATAACAGTGACGTCGGTAAACCCAAGAGGTCAAGTATATGGAGTTGCAGCCCACGAGCCTCTACAGGCAAGCAGAAGTTGTCAGATGGCTTCAGTTGAGCATTCCCTTGAAGTTGATCTTATGGTTGACTTCACCTTATTTGAAGATGAAATAGTGCATTCAGAGTCAGAGGAATCAGTTGGAGAATTTGATGATGATATAGACTCAATTCCTTCTGACTATTCAACAGATTCAGAGTAGATAATAAATGTTAACTTTATTTAAGACAATATTTGGTACTACGTTTTATAATAAATTATTTATACTATCTATGATTTATTTAATGGTAAAAGAATGGGGATCGGAGGAACAAAATTAGAAAAGACAAGAACACATGAGATTGTCTAATAAATTTGGAAGACTAATTTTAAAATAAATGTATCATGATACCTTGATGGAAAATTGGCATAAACATGAAAAAATCTGAACTTGAAATAAATCTTGAAATATATATTAACATCAAATAAATTGGAAATATTAGTATAAAATCAAATAATTTTGGAAACTAAGTCTATAAATAAATTAATTTGAGAACTGAGTTTAAAAAATAAATATGAAATTTGCCATTATCGACGGATTCCCGACGGATATAAGATTTTCATCGGGTTTAAGGTTGGTGAACACGGTTACACGTGGATTACGGCGGTTACACGTGGATTACGGCCCGTCGGGAATCCCTCAGAAATTACCGACGGATTCCCGAGGGATTTGGGGTTTAGGGTATCAAATTTAGAAACTTTATAACTTAACGCATTGTAAAACACATTTTAGTACGTTTTAAAACTCTACTAATTGGTTTACACCCATTGTATAACTATAATTTAAGTTTTTGTTAATGTTAAAAGAATTTCAATAAAAGTGTTTCTATATATACTTATAATGTTACTAATTAAGTGTTTGATGTTGTGAGTCTTCTAAACTTTTTTTTTTTTATGAGAATTTGTTTAAGGAAACATGTATAAAAGCTGAGAACTTACACTAATGTTAGTGGTAAGTGAGTAATAAATAGATTTTTGAAACTTTTTTTAGGTTTTGTGTTAAAATCCCGTAATCCCTTGGTAATTCGTCGGGAATTTTGATTAGAAATTCGATTTCCGTCGGAAATCCCGTCGGTTATAACCACGAAATTTAACCCGGGAACATTTCCCAAAATATTTGGAAACCGCGGTTTATTTAATTTCGTTAATAAACCGAGGGCAACCCGATGAGTGTGTCTGTCGGGAATGTGACTATAAATACAAAAAGAGACCCTCTGTTTTGCCGACCCATTTTCTCCACCTTCTCTCACTTTCTAACCCAGAATTTTTTCCTCCGTATATCTCAACTTCTCTCTTCGAATCTTCCTAACACTACAACAAAAGTGTGCATTGATAGCACATTACGATAGCACGAATTTTGCAATTGCTATTAAAGATGGTATTTAGAAATTTGTAACTATATTATAGCATTTAAAAAACGCTAAGCCCTATAATAGCAACGTGGAAACCTAAAATCACTTATAACCGCGAAAACTTACCAAATATTTCACAAAAACCGCTCAACACTTAGCGAAAATTAAAAAAAAAAAAACTTTTATGAACAGACAACCCTAATTTCTATCTTCTTCTCCTTTGGCGTTAAAAAAAAAAAATCTTCTTCTCCTTCATCGTTCTCTCAAGCTAGACCTCTTTATTCCTCGATTCTTCTCTTCTCCTCTCTCTTACTCTCTTCCTTTGATTATCCGACCCTAGATCTATTGGATTTTATCAATGTCGCTTCAGATTTCAGATCCATTATCTCTTTGTCACTATCGCACTCATCCCCAGATTTGTCTTTTTCTTCTTCGATTCGATGAAATCTTCAGTTTCCATCTTCGTCGGTGGTCTGAGATAGCCATAAACCATAGTTTGATTTTGGTGGTTGAAACGTAACTGAAATCCAAACCATCTTCGTGCTTAGTTCTTGGTAGCTGAAATGGTTTCTCGATTCAACTGCTTAATCCTCCTACCTCTGACTCGCCTCTTTCTTTCTCTTGGGTTCCACAGGTACGATTTTGTTAGGATTCACTAGATTTATTAGCAATTGTAGATGGATTTGGGTTAGATTGATTTAAAAGTGAGGAAATGATTTCGATTTAGACAGCAACAAGTCTCTATCGAGTTCCTCTTCTAGTGAGTTTGTTACATATCTAATTTCATTCCTCATAGAACTCTCCCTTTTCCTACAGTAATTTCTTACTTCTTTTCCAGATACGTCGGTGGATCCTCAAATACTTCCATTTAGCGAGAGTGGCAAGAGAGCAAAGGTCGAGAAATAACCAAGAGACAGATATGTCTTTCCGCTTTTTCTTTGTTCTTTTTTCAATGAACATGATGGAGTCTTTACTCATGTAGTTTTTGAATTTTCAGGTTTTGGTTTTCTGTTGCAGGTTTAGTTTTCGAATAATTATCAGGTTTTGGTTTCTAAATTTGCAAGTTTTGGTTGTCCAAATCGCAGGTTTTTGAGTTTCTAAGTTACAGTTTTAGTGAATTTTCAGATTTTTGGTTAATAACTAAATTTGCAGGTTTTGGTTATCTAGATCATATGTTATGGTTTGAAAAATTTCAAGTTCTGATTTCTAAGTTGCAGGTTTTGGTTTTTGAATTTTTTGGGTTGTTTGTATTGATGTTTGAGGTTTGAGTTTTACTCTCAGGTTTCATTTGGCGTTGATGCAGAAGTGATTTACAAGTTTTGGAGGTCAATGACATTGGAAAGACACATGATGGTACTACGTATCTTATACTTTGCACATGGAGTTTAAGTCTAAGGTCAAAACTGGTTAATAAAGACAGGTTCATTTCCTTATGAATCCTTAAATGCTTATTTAATTACGAGACACTTTTAATATTTGAATTGAGGTTATGATTTCTTATTGTTTCTTGTGGAGCCTTGATAGTTTAAGAAAAAAGAGACAAGGAGAGTTTGATCATGACCAGGTGAGATTTTACTTTTATACGAGATTTTCGTATGAATCTTTTCATTTGCAACTAAGGTGAGGCAATACCTTTCGTATAATTATCTCTTAAAGACTATGTAAAAGAGAATGTCTTTTCCGATTGTGAAAAAGGTTATGACTTAATATATCTGTTGACATTTTTGTCTATTTATGTTTTCTTGAAACAGAATGATTGGTAGAATTCCGGAAGTTATTGGTCTAATTCAGGTTATCCACAAGCTTCCCTTTCAGCATCAGGACTTCAAGGTAAACTAGTACTCTTTGATTTCTCTTGTTTTCATAAGGTTAGTAGCTGATTAGGTTGGATCATTTAGTTGATATACACTGCAGTTAAAGAAAATTTGAAGCTAATTAGCGTTTCTATCTTACTGCATTTTTTATGACTATTGTTTAATGTTAGAGATTTAGATTTGGGGATTTTAAAGGATTGGAAACAAGGAAGGCAAAGGGTTTTGTGTTGCTTTGGAGAAGGCAGTGAAGTGAGAATTGCTTGGAATGAGACAACAATATAAGTTTTTGGAGGAAGAGAAAGAGCAAACCGATAAAGTTATTCGTTTATTCCATCTATTGCAGTAGTTATGATGTTGTTTGAGACCTTGTTTTGTTTTTACTTTGTAAAATTACAATTATGTATTTTTTTTGATGATGTATAGAAAGAAACATGGTTTTAACGAATTGATTTTTGTAGCATATAATTAATAGATTTCCAATTTATATATTTGGAATTATATAGCAATTCAACATTTTCAAATATAGCACATAATAATTGTTACAAAACAATATAATATAGCAAAAATTTAGAGCTACAAGACTATATATTAAAGCATTCGATTAGCGCTATAATAAAACGATTTATAATAGCATGTCAAAAAACGCTATTGTATGAGGTGACCCTATTATAGCTGGGGCAGAAATAGCGTTTAGAAAAACGCTATTGATTACCTATAATAGCGTTTATCGTGAGCTAAGAATACGCATTTTTCTTGTAGTGTAATTTCATCACCTTAACCACTCAACGATGTAAGCTTTTCATCCATTGAACTATCTATTTCATGTTTACATCAGAATTTTGGATTTGGAATATACAAATTAGGGTTTTCTTAAGCCAGTCGTTGCATATAAATAGTCTTTACTTCGCCGCTTGAAACAAATAAGTCTTTCTTCGTCTCTCTGGTCTTGTTTTATAGTTTTAGGTTTTAGCTTGTTTTCCTGAATTCAATTCGTATTTCATCGAGTTCTTAGGTTAGATGGTTAGATACTTAGAATTTTGCGTTGAAATTTGTTAGATTAGTTGTTTGTTATGTTAGATTTCGTGATTGTTAGGTTAGATTAGGTGATGTTTTTTAGATTTTATCAATTTTTGATAATTGGGTTAAAATTAAGAAAATTTCGGACTGAGATGGGAAAAGTGTCTGCAAGTAGATGAAGTGCTAATAGATTGTGTACAGGAGTGACGAAGATCGTGTAAGTTTTCACAGTTTCACTTTATCCAAGTTAGATGAATCACTGTCATTAAGTTTTCAGTGTAAGTTTTCACGGTTTCACTTTATTTTTTAATAAATTGCCTAGATAAAACCAAATTCATACTCATTTTATCAATTTTTGATTCTCCAGTAATAATAGCTGCCACAACTCTAATTTAGATTTGTTTTTGTTTATATTGATTTGTTGAATTTCTGTATATAAAGACTTTTCTATGTCTTTTATCTCGTTTTTGAATTTTAACGAGTTTTTTGTTAAAGGATACGTTTAGGAGATTGTTGTTTAGTTTTTGATTGTATAATTGTTAATTAGAGATTTTTGGAATTATGATTTGTTACTTATATCAACTATTTTGAAGGAACTACGGAGAATTTCAACGTCATACTAACCGTTCCACTCAAAACCGAGTAGAACAAAATAATTCTCGGGCTTCGTCGCAAACCCCCTCAACACATGTCTCGGAGTCTCCCACATCTGCTGCACCTCCTATAATGTCCATTGAGGATTTTGTCTCTCAACCCGGACGAGAACGACTCCGCCGTCTCCATCCTCTCTACATCGACAATTCTACATGGTAAGTATAACACATATATTTCATTAGCAATTTTAACTTTTTTTCTCAATTTTTAATGTTGGCTAAAACTTTTGTAGGTTCGAGGAATCGGGAAACGGTATTAGCAAATCTATGTTAAGGATGATGTATGGACTCCTCAAAGAACCATATCCAAGATATACGTCGATGCCGCGAGAGGACCGAGACTTGTGGTTCAAACAGTTTGCGGTATATTTTACTTGTTTATTAAAGTTAAATTTCCAGAATTTAGTTTCTTTAATTACATATTAATTCATTGAATTTTTTAATCTTGTAGCAAGACTTCAATTGGGAATGAGATTTGACGTGGAGATGGCAAGGGAATTTTCCCACACGGTAAACCAATGGAAGCAAAAGTGGGTCCTCGGAGAGACTCCGAAGTGTATAAACGAGAAGGTGTATGAAGGGTTGAAAGATCATTGGATACAACCCGCGACAAAAAAGACTTCATCTACCAATTCCAACAATCGGAATAGTAGACGAGGTGGAAAAGGGATCTCAACGCACAACGCCGGGTCAACAAGCTTCTTTACTCGTGGAAAACAACTTGTAAGTTATCACGTTTGGTTTTTGCTTTGTTATCTTTTTAAGAAAATTAAAATTAAACTTTTCTTCTAAAGACTACTAGAGATGGTGTGGCTCCGGATCACTTAACGCTTATGGAGGACACCCACACCAACAAAAAGACCAAAGAAATTCAAGACCAAGTAGCTAAGCAAGTAATCGAAGTTTGCCGGAAAAGGAAAGATGAGTATATCTTATCTCAACCTCCTCTCGATGATGACGGGCAACCCCCAAAAGTCCCTTTGGAATTGATGAACCAAATTGTACTTGAGGTAATTATGTATTTGATTTACATTATAACATTATTTTTATATTTTCAAAATATTTATTCCTAACTAATTGTTCATAATTTTTAGGAAACTCCAAAGACCAAGGGACGTATCTTTGGGTTAGGAAAACTCGGAAAAAGAACTCGTTCACATCCAACATCATCCTATATGTATAATCGCGATCCCGAACTCGAGCGAGCCCTTCAAGAGAAAGACGATCGTATCGAAGTTCTCGAGAAGTTGATGGAAGAAGAGAAACAAGCGAACAAGAAGAGAGACGAGGAGATTGCGAAGAAAGACGCGGAGATGGCAAAGTTCATGCAAGACGTGTTGTCTAGGTTACCACCAAATTCAAGTTCTTAAATCTACCCTTTTATTATTTATGTAATTTTTAGGTTTTATGAACATGTCTTTTATTTGTTTTTATGAATATTTTGTTTTAATGTATTTTGGATTTTCAAGTTTAGAAATATTTTGTTTTATTGTGTTTTCGATTTTCATGTTTAGGAAATCAAAAAGTATTTAGCAACATTTATAATTATGTTTAATTAAACAAAAAATAAAAAATAAAAATAAATTTAAATGTAAAATATTCTACGTCCGTCGGGAATCCGTCAGAAATAACGAAATTTTTAATAGCCATACTTCACGTCAATTCGTCGGAGACCCCGTCGGTAATAGATCCGTCGGAAAAGCCCTCAGGAATAATTCATCGGTTTCATGTCGGAATTCTGTCGGTTATTTGCCGACGACTTCGTGACGGGATTTGCCGACGGGTTACGACCCTTAGAAAGCCGTCGGGAATAAGTCCGTCAGGAAGCCGTCAGAAAATACCGACGAAATACCGACGGATATGTGTTCCCGACGCTTTGAAACCGACGAACTCCACCTCTCCGTAATCCGTCGGGAAGACCTCTTCCCGACGGTTCCCTGACCGATATGGCCGTCAGTTTACGGCTGTTTTCTTGTAGTGCATAGCTGTTTTACCTTGCATATGTTTTTCCATATGCAGCTACTAGAGTTTAAAGGATCTAAGTTCCAAAAGCATAGAGAACATATTAAGTGACGTCTTACCCAAGAAACCCATAGAAATCCACTAGATGAAAAAATGAGCCAACTGAGCGTCAGACTCAGTATATTATTCCATGCCAGAAGCCTCCTTAAACCTAGTCCACCACTCTCCTTAGTAGTACATACTGAACCCAGAACCCCAACTTATCTTTGACCCTCTAAGAATTTGGTGCTCATTTCTAGGGGAAACCATTGCACATACTCTCTAGTTCTTGAAAGCACTAGTTAAAATATATAGAGAACACTAATGAATTATCAAAAACTAATTTAATGTCCATAAAACTTTAATGAGTCACATAGCTAGAGAGTAAGGAAACCCTTTATTTTTTTTAATTAAGGAAACCCAATTTGCCTTTTCCATGCAGGACTGAACTTTGTGCATTAACTAAACGAACGTTTTTCCATACTTAACAGGGAAATCATAATTCACTTCTAACTTCTAAGCAGTGTTTTTAAACCCGACCCAGACACTGAACCGGACTACCTTCTGGGTCACCGGGTTAATGGGTCAACCGGGTTCGACCACGGGTCAATTGATTTAATATATTTAATATTTATAGAGATTATATAGTTTTTATAAATATAAAAATAAAAATATTCATACTATAGTTACAAAATATGAAATCTAACATTAATAATAAAGTGATTCAAATTTTTAAAAAAAAATTCCAGTAAAAGTATAAAACCGTAACAAATATTAAAATAGTAGGAGATCGCCAATGACAGAAATAAACTAATAAAACATCGCAAATTCAAAACAACTAATCTCGATTATTTCTTTCACCAATACATTCATTCTCCTTAGACGGTACTAGGAAGTTTCAACAAATTCTAAAACATCAAATGAGTCTAAGAACTAAAATATTTTTTAAAAATAACTAAATAGAGTCTAAAACTCTATATTTTATTCCAAAATCAAATGATATTTTTAAAACCCATACCCAGCCGGTTCAACCGGTTCACTGGGTCTTGGGTTAATGGCGGGTTTTTGTGGGTTCTTTCGGTTTTGAAATTGGTGGGTATTAGCACTAAAACCAAACCGGAAAAATGTCCGGGTCGTGGGTTAACCAGTCGGACCGGGCGGTCCGGGTCGGGCGTGAAAACACTGCTTCTAAGTAAGATCACCACATGCATCAAAGTGTGATTGTAGAAACTTAGTGTCGAATTTCAGACAATGGAATAATTAAAGTATAACAATTTGTCTTATGGATTTGAGATGTGATAAATAAAATATCAAAACAAAAACGAAAATGGGCCTAAAACTTAAACCCAATTCTGACATATATATATACTATATAGACACATCTACGTGTATCTCCTTCTTTATTGAACACCCATTTTCAAAACAGAGGAAAATCATAAAAGCGTTAACCGAACTCGATTTTCAAAGCTATCAACCGGTTCAGCTCTCTTAACCAAAGAAGCCAAACCAAAAACCTAGAATCTCGGTTCGGTTCGAAATATTATCGCAGGGCTAATCAATCCAATATTAAAAAAAAAAAGAATAATGAATCATCGATACCCAATTCATCTCTCAAAGAGAGTTTAATGTACAGTGTTTTTAAACCCGACCCAGACACTGAACCGGACTACCTTCTGGGTCACCGGGTCAATGGGTCAACCGGGTTCGACCACGGGTCAATTGATTTAATATATTTAATATTTATAGAGATTATATAGTTTTTATAAATATAAAAATAAAAATATTCATACTATAGTTACAAAATATGAAATCTAACATTAATAATAAAGTGATTCAAATTTTAAAAAAAAAATTCCAGTAAAAGTATAAAACCGTAACAAATATTAAAATAGTAGGAGATCGCCAATGACGGAAATAAACTAATAAAAAATCGCAAATTCAAAACAACTAATCTCGATTATTTCTTTCACCAATACATTCATTCTCCTTAGACGGTACTGGGAAGTTTCAACAAAATTTAAAACATCAAATGAGTCTAAGAACTAAAATATTTTTTAAAATAACTAAATAGAGTCTAAAACTCTATATTTTATTCCAAAATCAAATGATATTTTTAAAACCCATACCCAGCCGGTTCAACCGGTTCACTGGGTCGCGGGTTAATGGCGGGTTTTTGTGGGTTCTTTCGGTTTTGAAATTGGTGGGTATTAGCACTAAAACCAAACCGGAAAAATGTCCGGGTCGTGGGTTAACCAGTCGGACCGGGCGGTCCGGGTCGGGCGTGAAAACACTGGTTTAACATAATGTATTTTTGTTAAAAGTAGACAAAGCAGAAACAATCCAAAACCCTAATAGACTAAGCACGCTCTCCACGAATCCTTCTTGCTAATTGAACATCTTTAGGCATTATCGTAACCCTCTTTGCATGAATGGCACACAGATTTGTGTCTTCAAACAAACCCACCAAATATGCCTCCGCAGCTTCTTGAAGCGCTAACACCGCGTGGCTCTGGAATCTCAGATCCGTCTACATTACCAAAACCGAACCAGTTATAATCAAAGATCAATATTCTTCATCAATATCTAGGGTTTGGATGATTGAAATACAAAACATTACCTTGAAATCTTGGGCGATTTCACGAACAAGACGCTGAAATGGAAGTTTACGGATTAACAACTCCGTGCTCTTCTGATATTTACGAATCTCACTGATTCATCAAGCAAGAACCAACGATTTCGTCAGAAAAGAAAAAAAGATTGTACGTGATTATGAAGAAATCGTGAAACATACCGAAGAGCAACGGTTCCAGGACGGTAACGGTGAGGTTTCTTGACTCCACCGGTACTCGGCGCAGATTTCCTCGCCGCCTATGTTAGAGTTACACAATCAATCAATTTAAAACCCTAGATTTCTCAAAATTCCGTTACAAATTCAAAACTAAGAACTAACGAACTAACCTTGGTAGCGAGCAGCTTCCTTGGAGCTTTTCCTCCGTGTGATTTTCTTGCGGTTTGCTTCGTACGAGCCATGGCTTCTTCAAAGACGATGAAGATTTGAATCAGAGAGAAAGAATCGTTAAAAGCTTTAGAGTGTTGTTGTGTTTTAACTTAAGAGAAAAGTAAAACAGATTAGTGAATTTATAGTGAGGAGGTGAATTATTAGGTCGGTTAATTTTGGGAGATTAACGGGAGAGGTGTTTATAGACGTGCGATTAAAGGTATGCTCAACGGTCCAGATTTGATTGAGGATAAAGATTAAGCATACGTGGCGATCTTTGTTTTCGATTCTTATTGGTCCTTTTCTTGTATACATAGACATCTACGTGTATCCTAGGCCACTTTCAACGATAAATTACGGTAGAATCTTGAGGCTGAGGTTTACCGTAACCGGAAGAGTTAAAAGTCCGGTTAAAGTGACGATGTTGTTTCCTTCGTTTACTACACATTCTTTCTCGATGCATCAAAGGCTATTGGTTCTTGATCATGTCATGTTTTATATACATTGTTGAAGACCTTTTTATATATTTATTTCGTGGAAATGTATGTTATTATTCAATTTGAAAAAGGTATCAGATACTTTGATATTTCTGTTAGAGCATCTTGTTGAAGTTGAATTCCTTGATTGAATCTGCACAAAGAAAAGCTTTAATCAGTGAGAAGAAGATGAAGAAAAGAGAAAAGCACAACGAAGAAGAAGTGTGTCGTGAAGAGAGTCAACGGCAAAAGGAGAAGAAGCAAAGTCAACAAGTAGAAGGGAATTGGGCTTTGTGTGGTTTGGTCCTAATTAGAAGACTAATGGGCTGCGTTTTTGGTTAAGGCCCAAACAAAAAGAAGTATGTTTTTGTTAGTCTAAGTTTAGCTAAGGGCTAAGTGGTTGTTAGAGTTGTTGAGAGTTGTTTGTAAGGTGGTTAACCTTACTTACCACCTTACTTGTGGTTTTAGTCTAGTAACTAGGAATAATCATGTCTAAGTGGGAGTAGTTAAAGCTAGAATGTTAAGTGTGTGAATGTGTATCAAATATGTATGTGTGTGTGAAGTTGTAACAATCAATCCTTGGATCTGATAATAAAAATGTAGACAGTTAAAAGAGTTCTCTCTTCTCTCTTAGTTACAAAACGCTTTTGTGTTCAATCTAAGAACTAAAACAAGAACAAGAGAGTAAAGAGAGATTGATGTTCTCTATGTCTTTTTTAAAAGAGAGAGAAACTAAGAGTTAAGGTGGTGAAATAGAACACCTTACCAAAGGTTCAACACATCTCTATCGGTGAGATACCCATAAGATATCTTACCAATATACTATTAATATATCTATTTTAATTTAAGTTGAGAATCTTATTATCAAATACAATTCTATTGGCGAGATATATTATAATAATTTTCTTTTTTAGCAAAGAAATAGGGATCAATCTTAATAATTTAAATATTATTTAATTTTAAATTTGTATGTTAATTTTCAATAAGATTACCATCTAGAGGATGATTGGCACATGGTAGTTTATTTTTGATTCTCAGTGTATCCCACTTCTTAATGCAACTTTTGGTTATTACAAATAAATGAATGAATAATACATATTAAGTTTATTTGTTGAGAATATTTATCTATTCATTTCTTTATGAATTTTTGATTTTTTCTAAACTTTTTTCATTAATAAAATTTATTTTTGTCACTATGGTGCCACATAAATTCATTTCTAACATAATTTATATTTATTATTAATATATAAAAATAACAGTCACATCTTTGACCGTTTATCAATTTTGTGTTACCAATCAGATTTTAACAGTCAAAGTTTCTACATTCAAAATCTTTACAGTCAAATTTTCTTCAATAAAACTATTTTGAAGTCAAAGTCTTTACAGCCAAAAGTAATTATCCTTACCAATCGGACCCTAGATGTACAGAAGATAGAACGGTTCGATTTTGATGAAGTTATCATCCGGAGAAAGAGATAAAATAACCCTAATTAGGCACGTAGAGAATTATGCGTCGCATAAAACGTTAGACTATTGGGTAGTTCTCATACATATTAGTTAATGTATTTTTTAATATATTTTTTAAAAAATTGTATTTTATGTTTTAATAAAATATTGATTAAAGATAAGGTTTTTGGACTGTAACATTATAATAAAAAGTCACAGCCATCAAAGTCACATGCATTCATTTGTAGGACTCATTTGAGATAGAGAGTGCTTTGAAAATTTGTATATGGTTAGGCCGAAGAAGATAACATATTTTCTTGGGAGTTTTTACTCTATTATGATTTATACGATTAGAATATGTGTTTTATAAGTTTTAATTTGGTTATAAAGTCTAACAATTAGTCCAACCGAAAGACTAATAACTTAAAGATAACTACTATTACTATGAACCATGATTGGAGAAGTTAGAGATATGAACCACGAGGTTTATGACTCAAAAAATTGATGGGTTTGAATTCCAAAGTTGATGATATACATGAAACTCTCAAGCAATTGGTGTTGGCTTCTATTAAAAGGAGTTATGTAACATCCAAACCAAAAGTACTGATACGAAGCAGCACCTTTCAGTTGAATCTCAACGATGCAAACTTATGTTCTTTTAAGAAGATATAAATGCCAAACTTCGATGATGAATTTCGGGTATCCACTGTTGTTGAGAAACAACTGACTACCATCTCAGCAACGTGTAACCTCGTGTGGTATGAAATGCAAAATATTAATTTTGTGATTGGTATTTATTAGCAAAATTGTAAGTCTATAGTTTTAAAAGTTACCCATTAAAATTTTAATATTTTTGTATCTACTAAGAAAATGTTTATGGGTACCTTATTGCCAATAGATTAGTTTACACTCCAATGATTAAATTTGTTATCTTTTTTTTCTTGTTTTGTTAAAGATTAAATTTGTTATCTTCTTCAATAAATTTCAAAGTTTCCTATTATTGAAGTCCATGAAAAGTCAAATTACTAACGCATCTTTGAACTTTTATGTTAATGACCTTTTCGACCAGAAAAAGCATTAACTTTTATGTGAACAACTTAAACATAGTATTAGGGTTTTAATTCAAGTCATATTGGCATCTACATTAATAAGAAAATGTTATTAAGAAGTACATACACATTACACTCACATATAATAATATCTTGAGTGTAAACAGAAAATATAAAACGTTTTAAAAAATTACATTTATGGATAATTATTTTGTGGCTGAAAACATTGAGGGATTTATATTATACTATGAAAGTAATCTAATTATATAGAAATGGGTAAGAGAGAATCAAAAACCAAAAAAGCAAAAGGGGATTTGACTTGCACACAATTGTCCTCCGCCTTCACAAGTAATCTATCTCCCACACGAATTTGCATGTTACTAAACTTTTCACATTTGCCACATGGAATATTTTGTCATTTTTTCCAATATACCAATGAACTTCAAATTTTAGATTCGGATTTTTTGTGTCACAAGAAACACTCTATGATTTTTTATTCTCCCACACGATTTGCTTTTTTTTTTTACTGGATAATAATAAGGATATTATGATATTGAGTATTATTTGAGACTAAATACGTACCAAAAAAAGAAAGAAACAATGTTGAGACGTGGTGCTTAAAAAGATAATGTCAAAACTCAAAACGTACGTCGCCAAACATTTGAAAAAAGTGACCAACTAGTGGACCAATTCTTCTTATTTTTGCTTTCTTTAGAGTCAAGAAACTAAATAAAAAAAAAGTAACCCATACCGCCATAAGAATATTTATATATATAAGAATAATACAAGAGTTTAGTTTGTTAGTAGAAAGAAAATGAAAGCAGTAGTGAGCAAGTTGCATTGTTCCTCGATGGAGGAGGTGATGGTGGTGAGACGGCGGCCGCACGTGGTTAACGGCGGTGGCTTTGTGGTGACAGATTGCAAAGAAAAGATCGTTTTCAAGATCGACGGTTGTGGAGTTCTTGGTACCAAAGGAGAGTTAGTTCTCAGAGATGGTGATGGCAACGATTTGCTTCTCATCAACAAAAAGGTATCTTTATCTTTCTTTTTTTTATCCCAACCATCTCATCATTATTCCGAATTTGTATGGTAAACTTTCAACATTTTATCCATGAAAATATTGATTATATAGCAACTTATGATTAATAGTATTTAAGTTTATTCTTCTAAAAATTTGAGGATAAATCTCGCATGCTAATAAGCTTTTTCTAAAAGGTGGAATAGTTGTTAACAACGACTAGTGAATAATGATTTACTTTATATAATGCGTCAAGAGAAAGCAACCTTTTAATATATATATATATATATATATATATTCCTTTTAGAATAGAAAAAGTTAATTTGATTGGTTTATAGAATTATGTGTTGATTGGTGCAGGGAGGAATGGTGCAGGCTTTGAGCATTCATAACAAGTGGAAAGGTTATAGTTATGACTACCAAGGAAGTCCTAAACCGGTTTTCACATTGAGAGATCCTAAACACTCTTGCTTCTCCATAACCGGTTCAATCCGCATATCGGTCCAACCGGTGAATTGCTACTTTGATGTTAAAGGGTATTTCCCGGATAGGGATTGTAGCATCATTGATTCCACCGGAAATGTCATTGCTCAAGTAAAAGAATGGATTGGTAGCAGAGACATATATAAGGTGGTGATAAAACCAAGTGTAGATAAAGCTTTTGTGTTTGGAGTTATCGCGGTTCTCGACTATATCTATGGTGAATCTACAAGTTGTTGATCCGCTCATCACTTCACATTTCTGTTTGCTAGACTTAGAGTGTGTATGTTGCTCCTTGTAAAGTTTAGAGACTCGATGTTGTTTTATGTAATAATTAAGCAATTAATAAATTAACTATGTAACTGTTGTATATTCTGCATATATGCGAGCAACAATTACCCTTGGTTGTTTTCTACATCTTAATTAATTTCAAACAATAGTGAAAAGTCATATTAAGGTGTTTTAGATTTTTATCACTCATAAACTTACATGAAAATTAGCAGTCTTTTTGTTTTTTTTGAAACAGAACTACAAATGAATAAGCTTTAGAAATGTGCTAAAAGTTGTTAGTGATAATTGAGTTTGCTCATATTATTTTATATAATTAATGATTTAAGTATATGTAAATTCAACGGGTGTGTGTTAATGAGTGTGTGTGAGTTATGATCAATACAAGAAAACAGGCGATTACCGACTACAGCCGCCGACTATTCATATAGTCGCCAATTTTAGCAACTGTCTTGCCACTTTTTACGACTATTAAACGACTAAAGCAAAGTAGTCGTAACGTAGTCGCCAAAGACCGACAAAAACCAATTGTCAGTAATGTAGTCGCTATTTGGCGACTATTTACCGACTAATAAGTAGAATATATATTCTAGTCGTAGTTTAGTCGCTATTTTTAGCGACTATTTTCTGACAACCATTATTAGTCGCTTTTTCGCGACTAATTTACGACTCATTCGGCGGGTCGTAAATTAGTCGTCAATTAGTCGCCAACTAGTCGTATTTTACAGTTAGAAAAACACGTTTTTCGTTTGGGGTAGGTGCATAAAATAAGTTCACTTTGATTTCCAAACTAAATCATCTATATACTACTAATTCAAAGTCATCTATTCACCTTCTAATTGACAAAGCAAAAAACTAGGGTAAGTACTATATTCACTTTATTCTAAATCACCAATTTACCTTTTCCGATGCAAAGTTTTTATAGTGACTACACATCTATCAATATATTATGATTATTGAAATAATTTAATTAATTAAGAGAAAAAAAATTGATCGAAAGTAAGCAAAAATTAAGCAAAAAAAAAAACAAGAAATGAGCAAAACATAAGTAAAATATCTTTGAAAACTAACAAAATTAATTCACATATCCAAAGTTAAGATTTTAAACAAATACTTCTAATGATCAAATGGATAGGGTGAAAAATAAAAATATTGTCTTCAGCCAAATGTTAAATTTTTGTCTAGCTCATATTTATGTAAGATTTCAAAGTTGGATGTTATTTCATTTTAAAAATTTCGGCCCAGATGTTAAATTTTGTCTATTATAAAGACGTTGAAGTGTAATTAGACTATAATTATGTATTTATATTTGAGATATTATTTAAAGTGTTTTTCATCAAATATTGCCCAAGTAAACAACCATAATTACCTTGTGTCCCACAATGGCTTTGTTGGAGACCTGGTGTTTGTTTGGAATCTTTTGACAATGCTTTTTGTGAAAAACAATCGGATCCAATTCTCGACATACGGAATCGTCCCCGCCGGACAATCTTCTCCGATCTTGTGCCACACTTGCCAATTTTTCTATACGTCTTTCCCCATTTGTACCATTCCGGTGGGATATTCCTGCATAAACTTATTTTTGTTAACAAACACCTGAAATATATGGTTTTGCAGGAGTTAGTTGTGGAAGGCCGGTTGATCCGCTCGGTTGATACAATTAATCACATCTCCATTGGGACACCTTTCAAACAAAAAGAAGGTCAAAACAATTAAACTATATTTGCATAATTGCATTTGTGTATGTAACCAAAAAAAGACGAGAAATAAATAAAACCGAGAGTTCATTACTTAAGTAAATAGTAAAAACTGGGATAATTGAAACTCCAAGTTGAATGAAGAACTGGCTCATGATAAGGACATTATTATTGAGTTAAAACTCTCCATTTTCCTATGATTTAATATAAAAGAAAAATTAATTAAACTTTCATAACACAAAAATAATAGACAAGTCGATTAAATTGAGAAGACATTATATTACTAAGCTCGAAAGATCAAAGCTATATCGAATCAATAGTTGATATTAAGAAATAATAGAATTTCTCTTCAGATATATATCTATATTTTTTTTTTGCCAGAATTTTCTCTTAAGATATAGGAATACAAAAATCATTAGCAATAAATAGTCCAAATATAAATTGAAATCTGCAGTCTATACCAAACCTGCCAACCCGTTTCTACAGTGTTGAGATCCGCAGTCTCATATGATCCGGATGCCAACCAAATTTGTGAGAGGCTAAAATCGTGAGACGATTCTACCATTGGGGCCTAAACACTTATTGTTGCTCTTGTACCATTAAACCTTTTGTCGGTTTATGATATATGCAATCACATACGGTTTACCATACAATTGATATTAGTATTATGAAATTTTTATAGTAACTTTACTTTCCAACCTTTTGAAAATAAATTTATATAGATGTTATATATTACTATATAACAGTGATGTAGTAGATATTGAGAAAGGCTCATAAATATATTTATATTTATTTATTTCACCTTTGGATCTAAATATTGTAAACTCATATTAGTAAAAACATTGACAATGGGCTCTCAAACTTTCCGGCTCAAATATTAACTTTTGTCTAGTCCATATTTATGTATGTAATATTTGAAAGTGTGATGTTAATATTTTTTTTGATCTTAGATATTGTAAACTCATAGTAGTAACTAGTAAAACTCATAGACAGTGGAAATCACAATTTGGGTAATAAATAAGTCATATGTATTTAGATAAATCCATTGGTAGATTAATCTAATTCTACTAAATCAACAGTCACTTTTTCAATAACTGATGCATTCTCTGATTGACACATCAGCTTACGCTAATTTTTTTACTCTTTCTTTCTAATGGAAATACTTTGTTTAAAATTATATAAAAAAAAAAAACCCTTGTCGTCCACGATCTCCACAAAAAAAAATTTCCAGTTTTTTTCCTTTATTAGAGATTCTCTTTTGCAACTGTTCCCTTTTTTTACTCTCACACATTCCACGATCTCTATTTCTTCTCTTCTTTGAATAAAAGCTAATTATTTTCCAAATCCTTACTGGAAATTTTCTTTCTTTATTCTTCATCTACCTATGTGATTTTTTCAAAAAGTATTTTTGACGTATCCAAGTTTTGCTTTGATTACAATCCTCACTTGTAGTATCGTTCTTCTCTTTGACTATTTTTTAGGAAATCAGATAAAATGTTATTTGCTTTTTTTACTTTCTATCATTTTTCCCTTGCTTGATTTTTTCTATAATTCAAACTTATTTCTCTATTTTTGCCAACAATCTTATTTTCAGTTTCTCATTCCGAAAACTTTGGATTTTACATATGGAGGAAGATTAGTGTCGCATGCTTATATCTCACACATAGATAAGGTATTCTTTCCCGTGCATAGCACGGGTTCCATACTAGTTAATTAATAAGTCATCTGTGAAAATTTTAAACATGATTCTATTCAACAAATTGGAATTGGTTTAGCTCGGCTAAAGGCAAACAGGGGATGGCAAGATAGGTTGAGTTGGGTAAAGAGTAAAGAGACTCATTAAGATTTAAGAAGACTCTATATAGTTGTGTCGTTTCACATATCCGTTTCTAGACGTAACGAATGGTTACTACCGTAAGATATGTATATATACGTGGATGTGTGTTGGTGTAATAAACAACAAGTTTCGGATTAATATCTCTCGTGTCTCTCTCTCTCTTGTCCTTTATTAAGTTCTTCATAAGAAGAAATAATTTCTACACAAACAGATTTGGAAAAATCTGATTCAATTCATTGCTTTTGTAAAAATAAGAATTGGTAGATTAATCAGTTTTAATTTAGCAAACTTAATGTGATTATGTTATAAAACTTGAAATAATGCACACTAGACCTTTCTTTCAATCCCTTTATACTCTGTTTAAGTAAGATATTTACAAAAACCAAAGGTGGGATCGATTTAAGTTAGATTTCTAAATCTTGGCAGGTTTGCTAATTCCTAACAATTGTCTCAGTATAAACCGTCTCTCTTTTTAATGGTAACTTGATTTTGGTATGTAAGTTTTTGAATGATTAAACTTTGGTAGACCATTCCTCTAAGAAATCTTCAATCATATTTGGTTTTGGTGCTGTTGCTGTTTCACGGGTCCACTTTGCCTGCACAAAAGGTGTTTCTCATGAGCGCACAAACACCAACAGAAAGGTATATGATTTGCTTTTATTCAAGAGGATGATGGTCCTTGCTTCTGCCATTTTTCTCATGAAAAAAACAGAGATGAATATGACTATATATTCAAAATTCACCATTTTTATTGAACAAAGTATGAGATAAAGATACAAAAAAAAAAAAAAAAAAAAGGAAATGCTTCGATACAAGACAACAACAACTTGACTGACAAGGAAAACCGAAAAAACCCTAACGGTTCCTACGCTTATTGGGACCGATTATCGTGACGAGCCACTCTGGCTTGTATGAAGCAGTTATTTGTGCTATTGCAAGTCCAAGCAACACTCCAAACCCATACCCTATTACCACTCCTTTCCAGTTCAACACTTGTTCATCGTCTTCCTCTTCTTCCTTAGGTTGTTGTGATGGCAAAGTAGTCCCAAAGCAACTTTCCTCGAGAGGAAGACCACAAAGTCTTGCATTCCCTTCAAATGACGATTTAGGTTGCCCTGTAATCTGTGTTCCTTGTGGTATTTCACCATTGAGTTGGTTGTGAGACACATTTACATATGCCAAAAATGAGAGGGACCCTAGTCCATTAGGAATAGTCCCTGAGAGTTGGTTGCTTGATAGGTCTAGTGATTCCAGCTTGCCCATACTGGCGAAAGACAGAGGAATATGGCCTGTGAAGGCGTTGTTCGATAAATTGAGTGCAATCAGTGCCTTTAAAAGGCCAATGGATTCAGGAATCTGCCCTTCAAGTCTATTCCCAGAAAAATCAATTGTGGCGTAGGAAGTAAGGACCATCTCATGCTCCATAGATAGACCTTTGTACTGCAAATCTATAAAATTGATATAGGTATAGATAAGTGCACTGTAAGGAATCTCCCCGTATTCCATGTATAAGCCCCCATCTTCATTCATCGTGAGTGATGATGCTTTCCAATTCACAAAATAACTTGGTGGCAAGCTTCCAGTGAACTTATTATCAGATATCTCAAATATCCGCAACTCAGCAAATTCAAGAGGACCATGATGAGGAGAAGATATAGGACCATGGAAATGGTTTGAACGGAGAATAAGGACTTGCAAATTTGGTAAAGCCTTGAGCCAGAAAGGAAATATGTCGTCAATTATGTTGTGGTCAACGCTTAGAAACTCTAGAGCGAGACAATTAAGAAACGATCTTGGAAGCTTCCCGGTTAGTCGATTATAGCCAACATTAAGTGTACGTAGAGAGGCACATGTATAGAAAGTGTCAGGAATACTTCCTTCCAAGTTATTCTTCCGGAGATCAACAACTGTCAAGTTACTCAAACATTGAGGAATTGAACAGGTTAAGTTGTTGTAAGATAGCGACAGATGTGTGAGAGACCTACAATTGCAGATTGAAAGAGGTATGCTCCCTGTGAATCTATTGCCCCGTGCAGCCAATATGTTGATAGAGAGTGGTAGAATAGGAATTGCTCCTTCAAAATTGTTTAGCTGCATATCTAAATACTTCACTAAGGAATTTACCAAAACTTCCGTTGAACCTTCGAACCCACTAAACGAATTATTTGTAATCAACACTGAGCTGAGATGAGGAAGATTCCATAACCACTCTGGAAGTTTTCCTTTGATTCCATTTCCAGATATGTCTATATGCTCCAACTTCTGAAGGATCTTTATGATGTTTGGGAACTCATTGATGTCGGATCTTGACAAGAACAAGATCTCCAAGTTCGGTGGGATGTCTGAATTTGAACTTAAACTGGCAGGAGATATACTATTGCCGGAAAGATCAAGGTATAACAAAGATTTGAGTGACGAGAAGAGGCTTACGTCAATTGGGTAACTTGTGTTTATGAAAGAAAGGTCGAGATTCTTAAGGTTGATGAGCTTTGGGATATGCTCTAGGATTTTTCCTTCAAAATGGTTATTCCCAAGGTACATGGACTCGAGGCTAGATGATGTAGAGGAATTATACAATTCAATAGAACCAGAGAGATAGTTTTCACTCAGATCAAGATTTGACAAGAAAGGCATAGTGAAGAGAGAAAAATGAATGGTTCCACTAAAGTAATAACCATGAAAATTTAGAAGGGAGAGCTTGGTTAGCTTTTGTACTAGCGAGAAACTACCAGAGAACCTGTTTTGGTTTAGGTACAACTCGGTTAACCAAGTTAGGTTACTAAATGTGGGAGGAACTTGACCGAAGAAGTCATTAGAGGAAAGGGCAAGTCCCTCTAATTTGTTGAGATTGCCAAATTCGGAAGGGAGTTCAGAACTAAAGTTGTTATAGGTGAGACTAGGTTGACGGAGCTCGTGCAACTCAAAGAGGCTACTGTTGGGTTTTAGAGTTCCGGAAAAGTGATTATGAGAAAGCTCTAAAACTGTGAGCTTGGTTAGATTCCCCAAAAGTGGGAAACTACCAGTGAGCTCGTTATTGAAAAGGCCTAAAAAGGAAAGCATGCTAAGGTTACTAAATGAGGAAGGAACTTGTCCGAGGAAGCCATTAGAGGAAAGAGATAAAACCTCTAATTTGTTGAGATTGCCACACTCCGGAGGGAGTGAAGAGGAGGTGAAGTTATTGTAATCGAGACTAACGTAACGAAGATGATGTAGTCCAAAGAGGCTACAATTTGGCTTTAGAGTTCCACTCAGACAGGCCCTGAGTTGTAGCTTCGTGATCACACCCGTCGATTTGTCGCACCAGACACCATTAGAGTAGTCACTATGGTTGCAACCACGAGTATCAAACTCATTCTTGAACTGCATAAAAGATCGAATAATCTCGTGGGACGACAAGCAACAAGCTTCTTTATAACAACGCAGCTTGAACGGGAGAGACAACAAAGTAAGAGTAGCGAGAGAAAATGCAAACGCAGAAATGATCCCGACATGGTCGTCTTGAAAGCTTTTAAGAGGATACAATTTGTTTAAGGAAAGAGACAAAAATCTTGGTATAAATAAGGACAAGTCACAACTTGATTTACAAAAAGTTAGAGCTGGCTAGAGTCATTGTATTCAAGACAAGAAAAAAATTATGCCTAAGTGCGAAGTTAATGTCTAACCATGAAGTGGTTAATTTTTCTAACGTATGAGTTGGATTGGAATATCACAGGCGTTTGAAAATTTTCACATTTTTTCAGAAACTATATAAATGAACTTAGCATAAAGATAGGGCGAAGTTGATGTCTAACCGTGAGGTGAGATACACGTTACCTAGTTCTTCTAACGTATGAGTTGGATTGGAATATGACATTCGTTTGAAATTTCTCACATTTTTTCAAAAACTACATAAATGAACTTAGCATAAGGATAGACAAAATGGAGAAGTTTGTAACTTTTTTTTTGTGCTTTGCAAAGAATAAAAATTTTCTAATACATTCTAAAATATATTTATTTTAGAAGTTTAAAGAAAATTTAATTTCTTAAAAAAATTCTTTTAAATTTTAAATAATGAAATAAATCCCATTTATTTATTTTTGGACATTTGACATCCAAACTTTTTAGGTTAGAAAAATATTACATTTACAGAGGGATTTTTGGTTGATTCTACCTTAAGTGTGTGACCCCCTTTCTTAAACTACTAATTTTTGAGAAACTTTCAAAAAATACCACATTCTTCTGGTAGGAAGATACATGATCAGACGATTTTGCTCATGATTCAGTTTTAGAGGAAAAAAGGTGGTGTTAGAAAATTGATGGAGTTATGTTTGATGAAACATTTCTTTTATTATTTTCTTTGGTTTTCCATTTTTGAAAATTTTTATTACTGAATTTTACCCAGTTTGACTCAAAACTTTGCAAAAATAACTTGATTGATTTCCAATCGAAGTGGATGACTAGACTAACCCAAATTTTGTGTAAAAAGACTAAATAACCTCAATCAAGCTTATCACAATATTTCCTTTAAAATTAAAAAAAAAGTTTGATTTCATAATTAAATAAAAAAAATTTGATGATTACTTAAAAAAGAAAAGTGACGAGTCAGCCAAAGTTGAAATTGAAAAGGGGATGAAATTAGGGATTTTAAGCACATGGGTTTATCAAAATTTGGATATTCCATCTTGATGAGCATGGAATTTCCAAATTCCATATATATATATATATATATGTATATATGGCATTTTCTTAAATATATATATATATATATATATATATAGTATTTTTAAATATATATATATTTTTTTGTTATAAGATCGTGTGTCAATAATAATATTTCTTTTTTGGTATTAAATTGGATGTCTTTTTATTAATTTCTGTATTATTCTTTCAACTGAAACAATTCTGGTATTAAACGTCCAAAAATAAATAAATGTAGGGTTTTTCGAGATTTTTACCTCTTAATTAGTATAACTTCTCACCAGTTGTAGTTACCGGTCAATCCTATCAACCAAACCTCCTTTTCTGGTTAGTTGTTTATTGAAACTTTATTTCTCTTTGAATTTTCTTGAACTATTATTAGATTTAAGAATTTGTGGCCATATAGTGAAATGACATTAATTTTGTTTGTGGATTGGAGAAGACTTGGTCAGGTTCTAAGGAAGTTCTAGGATTGATTCGTTTGTGTTGTCACGAATTTAAATTTCCACTACTAGGATTAAAAGATTCAGATTTCTTACTTTAAAACACATGATGTACAATGAAAGGAACTGCTTCATTACAACACCATCATCTAATTGATAAACATTCAAAGATCAAATGCGAAACCGAAATAGTCCTAACGATTACCATGGTTGACGAGCCACTCTGGCATGCATTAAGCAATCACTTGTGCTATTGCAGATCCAAACAGCACACTAAGAACCTACATATAGCCTATAGCAACTAATATCCACTTGAACACTTCTCTGCTTTAGCCTTGATTCCCGTAGCAATAAGTTGCAATTTCGCTTTATTGAAGGCGTAGTTTCGATCTATTTAGTGGACATAGATGGTTCTTTGTTTCATTTATGGATTCATTCTCCTTTGGTTGATGTATTTTATGCCTCCAGGCACTAATTAAGATTTATTGCAACTGAATGCCTCAAGTTAGTTTTCGTTTGTATTGATGGATGTAGGTCAGATTAGATTTTTTTTTATATATTTTACTTACGGCTACAATTCTTTGGTTGGATATACTCCAAGGTTTACTTGTAACTTTATGTGCATATATATTAAGGTGCATATTAAGTAATCACACTAGTTATTAAAGGACTATCCAATTTGTACGGCAGTTAAAGTATTCAAGAAATCTTTTTCATGTCTCCTTTTAGCTAACTTTGGATTTTCACATAGACATTCTCAAGAAAAAAAACTAATACAAACCTTCGGAATCACACCTTGGATTTATGCTTCTCGGTTTCAAGGTTTCGGCTTGAAAAGGATCGATGGACGAAGGTAGAGATGGAGATGAAATTTTGATGATTGAATCGCATAATCAACACATGAAAGAACAACTTGAATCTCACAAGTTAATTACAAACCAGAGAGTAAAGGAATCACACGCAATGTACTCTAACGAACAAGATCATATCAAAAGACACTCGCTTTTGAAGGGAAATAAACTGTTTTTATTTTTGGAATAAAATGTAAAATTTATTCGAAATTCTTTTTTTACATCAGAATTAGTTTAAACGTTTTTAGTATACATTGATCAAATTAAAGAAGAGATGAGAGCTTTTTTCTTATCTTGATGCGAACCGCCATACAACACCAAAACTGTTTTATTAGTTTTATTTGAAGATGGCTGAATACAAATGAACGACTAAAGTGAGCTTTGATAGGCTCTAGGACTATGGTAATAAGCTAAATAAACAAAGAAATTGCACCAAAATATAAGGAAATAGCTGTTGGGACTTTATGATACAAATCGGCCAAAATAGAAAAGTCGAAGAAGCTTGAGTCTTGATAGCTTGGGTGCAAAGTTGTGGTTTCTTGGAACGTCTAGATGCACTGAATAAACATCCAAAACGCAGCATCAAGGATGAGGAAAGAGACGTTCTGGTTTAAGCTCAATCAGTTCCATATAAGCTAAGTTTTGGCTGCGGGTGTTCTGGTGTGATGCGGTGCACCAAGGGGCGTATATGAGAGTCTCTAGGTGCTGTAGAAGCTCTCCAGGTTTCCAAGGGAATTCTTGGTCTGTACCATTTATGGTAAAGTCCAAACCAAGCGATAAATGACCTGCGGGAAGGGTCCATGAACCATCTCTTAAACCGACACGAACCAGCCTTGATTTTCCTTGATAAATCTCCTTAAAATAGCTGGTTTGCTGGCAGGTTTGACAAAAAAAAAAAAAAAAAAAAAAAAAAAAAAGCTGGTTTGCTGGCAGAATTTGATCTCTGGTTCAGTTGGCTGGTCGGATCCTCCATTGGCTTAGAGGATTGGTTGTCGACATGATTCGGTTGAGCTCGCGTAAACCATCTTTGATTCTGGTCGTTGATCTTCAAATGTGTCTCGGTCCATAACTCCAAAATAGGCATATTTCTGGTGCCTGGTGAATATTGAATCCTAGGTCCTCCAAGTGAAAGATTGACTCCATGGTTAAGCATGCTTCTTGTTGGTCCGTACTGCTACTAGTACCGCCTTTCGTCTTAGTAAGGTCCGGAGTAATGGTGGTACTGATTCTTACATCATTAACCCTCTAATAATATACTTCAATAGAAAGTTGAGACAAGAATCAGTTCATTTGTATTTTAAGTGAACTAGTAATTTTTCTATTGTTGATTTTCATAAATGACCAGAGAGATTCATAAATTTATTTCAATTTAGAGATGACTTATGTTATAGGATAAAATTCGCAGCAATTTCAAATGGAAAATATATAACTTGCTTATTACAAAAAAAAAAAAAAAAAAAAAAACATAGAATGGACAAAACTTACCAGAAATACACTCATAGATTTAACCGTTGTTACGTTAGAGACAAATATATCATGCCAAAGAACATGAATTAAGATATGTCACGATAATGCAACACAAGATAAAATCATCTCAAACGATCTTCCAAAAATTCGTTTAATATATGATAAAAAAAATTAATAAAGGAAACCTATACTGAATTTTGTCAATGAAAAAGCACATACGTTTCTTCATTGGTTTCTTCCGAAGGAGAAGATGATTTGTCGGATTCTGAAAACGATTCTCATTTGATGGATCATATGACTCCTATGGGTAAAAGAATCATTCGAGAAAGACCGGTTAAACCATCAGCAAAGGCTAAGGAGATTCATGGTCAAACTCAAACCACATGTGGTGGGAAGGGTAGAGGTCGTGGGAAACGAGGTGGTCGTGGATAGTGGTTTCCTACATCCTAAGCTATTAAGTCAATCAAAGCGGGAGATTTGACTGTATATGTGCATCTAATGCAACCTCTCTTTCTACTACTTGTAATATCTTTCTAAAACTGGATGACTTCGAGTCATGGCTTGTTCGGTTCTTAATAAATAAGATTTTAAGGTAAAGAAAAACACATACGTTACGATATTAGCATGCACACGTATAAAACTCGCACATTACCAAATAAAGACATGCTTATCGCCATCATATACACACACTCACATAAATTCCACTATAGATGATACTATTTCGGAAAAAATTGTTTCATAATATTTGATTACATCAAATTTTTTTGGTACATAAAATTTAAAATTTCTGATAGAGATATATAGTGTATTGTTATACCATGTTTTACTACCTTGTTATGTAGCGTGTTTTGAGCCGCCAAGTTTCAAAGCTACAGGATCATTCTCAACGTCATTATGTCTTGCGACAATGACCAATCTGTTGGGTACAATTCTGGTTTCTAAATTTTATTTCCAACACAATCTTCCACTCTTCCGATCGTCTGTGGTTGTGTCTCTAATTTACCATTTTCTCTCGTATGTGGCATTGTGTTCTATAACTCTTGACTCCGAACTATCATGGAACTATCGTCGGATTACCGTATTTTTACTTTTATTGTCTTTCACTTTGTTGTATCAAACAATGAGAATGATTATTCTTTTAAGCTTTGTACTAAGTTTGAGTGATTGAATGAAAAACGAATCTTTTGCACAAAAAAAATCACAATCAATGAACAAGCCTCATTTGGCAGCTAACAATCACATCCAATGACCATGCCTCTTTTGGTAATTTTTGAAGTTTTTTCTTTTAAAATATATTTTGTGTAATTAATAGCTAAATGCATAAATTAGACATGATAACTAGGATAAATATATTACTTAACATATGACATTATATACGTTATATAAATTTACACGGTATTATTAAAATTTTTGGCATATATATCAAACAACATTACATGTATATATGAGAATTTTCATACGATTTGAATTTCCATGGTGGCAAAAAAAGAGAGGGTAAAATTAGGTAATGGGGAAGAAAACATTAATCAAGTTATTGTACTGTACCGTTAAAACACTAACAAAAATCTAATAAAAACCGTTCAAAAAATATTTAATAAAAACTTTAGAAAAAAATCAATTTCTATATTGTATAGTATATGTTTTCTTTTATTATTTTGGTCATGCTCAACAAAAATATGCTCATCATCCTCTCGCTGGAAACTTGTATGCATTACAAAAAAAAATTATTCGATTGAGCTTGACCGAAATAACAAATTAAAAAAAAAAAAGAATTATTATCTCTAATTCAGTGGTATTAGATATTATTAATTAATCAAGAGCGTATAACCAAAAAAAAAAAAACTCATTTTATTAATAAAACGAAGGGACTACAAGATTATAAAGCAAAAGCGAAAAAATCTAACAATCACTCAACAATACAAAATCATTATCCAAAAGAACCACAACATTTCTTTGATCTACATAGACACATCTTCTTCCCACCTCCTCTAGATTTTCCATAATCATATCTCAACTCCGTTAATGGAGGAATATGTTTCATTGCAAAAAAGCCAATGTAAAGACACCATAAACCATTTTCTTCACGAGAAATCGGCTGCCAAAAAACGTTGGGTGAGCAACTATGGTTCATAAATCGAGCCACATTTCCTGCCTTCTTTGCACTAATCACCAATGATGATGAAACACTAATATTCTCAAAGACTTTGTTCATAGCATCCTCACCAACAAGCTCAGGTTCATAATTCCACTTAAACGAGTTATAAACCCGCGAAGTATCGAATATATAATCATCCTCTTCATCGTCACCTTTTGCTATGATTTCACCAGCATATTCACATATGAAACTTCCTGCTCGAATTGGATCCCATGACCTTAAACCCCATCCACTATCCATTGTCTTAAACACCTCCAAATGGAATTTCAACCCGGTCTGAATCATCTTGTTTTTGCATTTAACATAACAAGGACATGATCCACCGCATTCAAAAACCGTCGGTCCACGAGTGACTAATACCCCATCAACATAAGGTATACCGCCTTCATTTCTCTGAACACATGCGCAGCTACCACTTTTTGGACCACAAGATCTACGTCCACAAGCGCAAGGATCAACCATCGGTCGAATATTGATTACCTCATGGTGTAGCGAAGTGACATAAGTAAACAAAGAAGGACCATTCTCCTTGTCAACTTCATTCACCACACAAACCTCTAGATTCTCAGCTCCATTAGAGAGATCTTGAAGAATAAGACCTGGTCTTGTACTCAAATCATTCTTCCAATTTTTTACTGATTTCCATATACCAAAAGCGGGTTTTTGATCAGGTTCCCTAACCAATTGGAATTTGAACACTATGAACCCATTTTGACCTTCCTCTTGCCACATATTAGTAATCATATATGTTCCATCATATATATAAACATTACCATGTGTCCTCTTCTCATCCTTCATACCCCTAATCACTCTCACAATACTCTTCTTCCGAAAAGCTGCCTCTAGTGGAATATTCAACCTCTCAAGTTTCTGATCAGATGGTTGATCATGATACTTGTCCGTACCACCAAACCCCGTAAATATCAAGGAATCCGGATCTTCGGTTTTATCAGCATTTTTCCCTGAAGAGATGATACTGACTGCAATTTGTTTATCCTCCCGGTCCCCGCTATCTTCGACTCCAATGAACTCCATGTCAACGGTGGCTGCATGGAGCCCCACCAAAGCCATTTCACCCCTAATGAAAAAGATGTCTCCTACATCAACCCCGGGAACCGAACCAACTCGCTTTTTGGTGTTTGTGTACAGTTTGAGGGTCTTAAAAGTACGTAAAGCCGTTACAACCTCACGATGCATATCCCCAATTTGGCTTAAACGTCTCCTTACCGCATCAAACCGCATCATGACACTACTCACTAGCTCACTGTTTCCCGTTTCCTGATCTTTTTCATTCATGCCACCTTGAAAAAATGGATACAACTCGATCAATCTATCACTCATCTTCAAATATTTGCCGAGATCTGTTAGCTCTTTGGTCAACCACGTTCTCTTTTAATCTGAGCATTAATAAGACATGCATTAGCAACATAAATTTGCATAATAAGACTATCAAACTAGAATATGGTAGTAATAAGCGTAATGAATATAAATCTAAGAAAGATACTAAATTGTCTAACCGTTTGAGAAGAAGAAACTAATTCTGAAAGTAAAAAGATTATCTTTGAATCAATGGATAAATATATGCATCGCTTACAAACATAAAAGTATATGTATAAAGAATATTAACCTCGTGTACACTTCAACACGAATAAAATATATAAAGTGATAAATTGATACATTACTCACCTTCAGAAGAAAAGAAGAGACTGGAAAGAAAAATGGATGAAGAAAATTATGAAAAGAAATGCTTTAGGGTTGTTTTAGGTGTGAAGAAACTGCAAAGCATGAACCCATATTTAAAGATTTTTGGAGTGGCTCTATTTTTTTCTTCATGGCAAATAAAGTTTCAAACTTTAAAAACCTGTAGATTTTTTTCCTATTTTATGTTTTATGTCAATACCTTATTAAGTTATAATCAATTATTTAGAAATATTTTTTACTAAAAAATAATCAAGATAAACATGAATTAAGATATTTTCCATAATTGGATGATTAGATTTTCTCCCTACAAATTTTTTACTTATTTATCATCGAATTTAAGAATTGTTAGAAAAAAAAAGAAAAAAAAAATCCAAATTTGAAAGATATTTTTAATTAGGGTTTAATGCAAAAAACCCTTCAACTCACCCATTTTTGCAACTTTACCCTCTTTTTTTTCCTTCTAAAAACTTTTATTAAGCAATGAGTATTACAACCATACAAGGCCAATACAAAACTTCACAGAAGCAATTTATTACATAAGCAAATTTATGAGCCATATGCGGAAGATGACATAATCGAAGAAGTGAATTTAACGATGCTTTTTTCCATAAGCCTTACTCGCAATCATGTTACAATACATGATATGTTCCTTCTTTAAAAGCCATCTTACTCGAGTGTGATATGGATGCCTTATTGGCATTCTTTGTTTGAAACTCCACATCATATAGAATAAAACCATTGCTCCTGTAATGAGTTTTATAATTTCGACATTCCGATACCAATTAGTCCATATCAGTGCCATTGCGCGAAGCAAAAAGTTTGGCTTGATACCGGTGTAAGCTCATCCTATTGTACATTCCACACCATAGACGTCGTTGGAGATCTTCACGACAAATGCCTTCGATGTAATTTTGGGATCCCATATGCATCGAGGATTGCAAATTTTTACTAAATCACTGTCGACAATTATTATCTCCAGACTGAAAACGCCGAGCATACCCAGAAAAACACCGTAAATGAACCACATAATCATCATACGGACAAGTACTCCTCTGGAAGGAGGAAAGAAAACCCTAATAACGAAAAACGAAATGACGTCGGCCACCGTTGTGGAGACCAAAAGTTGAAACAAACTCAACCATGAATTTGTTAACAAAGACATCATCATCTCGCAAGTCTTGTTGAGATTCATGCATGAGAAGACTTGCGACATCCATGGCTGCATAGCCCATAGCCGTAGACAACCCCACACTTCTATTTGTTATCAAAAACTCCATCAAACCTAAAAGCCTATCTCCTACGCCGCCATACGAGACCATTTTTGTCCAGAGCAATTTTACCCTCTATCTCCGAAAAATTCAGATTAATCCTACAAAGTCCAAAATAATACGCAACATAACCCTCATACGTATATTGTAAACGTTTTTCCATTCACATACATTAGTTTTCTAAAATTCTAAAATTAAAGTTGAACTCTTCATCGCGAAGACTTCGATTTGATATATTATTTGTTTAAACGAACTTGACGGTAACGAATAAGGGTTACATTGCGTATTATTTTGGATTTCGAAGGATTAATCTGCATTTTTCGGAGATGAAGGGTAAAGTTGCAATTATGGGTGAATTGGAGATTTTTTTTGCACAAAACCCTTTTAATTATTTTATTTTTTTTTGTAAATGGTTTGATTTATTTGTATAATCTAACAAATTTAGTCTTTGACCAAAAGAAAAAAATGTAGTCAAATTTTGGTGAAATAGATTTTTCAACCTTTCTTATTTGAGAAAAAATTCTTGTGAAAATCTCATATTAACATTTTCTTGATAGCTTATCATACATTTAATGTAAACAATATTCCCCCGGAATGACTTTTTTGAGTTTAATTGAAAGTTGTTTAAAAAAAAAAAAAAAACAAGATAGCTTATCATACATGTAAATTCAAAAGAAAGCCACATGCATCTATGTCCATGTTTCTAGTAAATCTATTACAAATTTGTAATCATTATTCATTTGTAATTTCAATAGAAGCAAACACGATAATAGTCGTAACCCAGATTCTGGTTCAACATGCATATATTTATCATATGTGGAAAAAATATTGCATTAAAATTTCAAACAAAACAACTATTTATTTATGTTTGTATACTATCATAATCTCGTTATGTGATTAATCTTGAGTTCTAAAACTTTTTTTGGTTTTGTCAAATCAAAAGTTTTTTTCCAACAGAAGTGAGAGTCAAACCTTATGAGAACATTTTAAAGACTACTAACTTACTAAGTAAAAAAAACGGTTTGCAATTCAGAGTAATAAATTCAAACGATGTGATATGCTATATTGTCCAAATTAGACTCAGAACTAAATAAGAGGTTTCATAATAGAGCACAATAAGGTGAATGAAAAGATTGATAATGAATTTCGATTTCTTCAGTTAGTGGATTTTGATATTGATATAATTTTTTTATATAAATAAATGCTCAAAATTATTACTATGATCATAGCTATTATAGTATATAAGGAATGTGAAAAATGTTTGTTTAACTAAACTTAGTGTATGTGAATTATGAGATAGTTATGTCTCAAAACACTAGCAGCAAGTCTGTTGCAAATCTAAAACTTGTCGCAGATCTCCAACCACTGACAGTCTGACACCAAGACGAAAACAAAAACCTAAGAAGGAATAAGGAAGACATGATAGATGCCGACGCCGTGGGAGCTGTCGTGTCGGCCAAAAGCTTGACGATGACAATGTATGGCGAGAGCTTTCTCGAGAAGAAAAAATGGTCAGAATCAAAGTCGGCCACGTTCTTCTCATAATATAATTTTTTTAGCGTTATTTCACTTAGAAGCACGATGCAAGAAGCTTAAATATTTTCCTCATACATGCTCGCATTGTATTCTAAGTTGCATGGAAACTTTGTCTATGGTCAGTTTCCGGTTTTTGAAATCGTATTAAAATCAGAATTTCCCAAAAATGAGGCGGATGCGCGATTCGTAAGAAATTTATTTTAGAAACACGACGAGATTTTTCTAATTATGATTTAGAAACATGACATATGGGCCGATTGGTAACGACTATAAATTTTGGTTTTAGAAGCTTTGACTTTAAAAATTTGAGCTTCAGAGAATTTGGCTGTAAAGATTTTGGCTGTAGAAACGTCTTGGCTGTTAAAGTCTGATTGGTAGCACAAAACTGTAGAAGCTTTGACTGTTATTTATTATTACTAGATGTATCTTAGTATCTTTATATAATAAATTTGTAATGAAAATTAACATTTAAAAATCGTTTTACACATGTTTTGTAAAAGTCTTTATAAACTCGGACATAACATTGTGAAGTCGCACCCGCCTCAATCCATCACTGACTAGGTACGTAGGCAAGTAACTTCCTCTCAACACTTTGAACTCAACCAATGGATCATTTCATGCTTGGAACCATGATCTCTCATTATGATGCTCCAAATGATCATTTTAAGGAGATGTATGTTGCTTCAAGTCTGGAAGTTGTCCGACTATCGCGAAAATCAAACACTTCATGTGGACAGTTTTGTACATAAGATAAGAATGTATTGAACCGATTCTTTTTAATGAAGTCTCTGGCTTTGGCAACCTCTACACGGCTTATTACTATGGTAATGAGGATTGATCCGGGTTGTCCTCGCTGCAGTAATGGAGAAGAAACCATTAACCATGCTCTATTTGCCTGCCCATTTGAGAACACGGTTTGGCTGCTTTATCACCTCCAACCAACTTTCGTCTGACGATGTTGAAGAAAATATAATTAATATTCTTGAAATCTATAATACTCAAGACATTCCAGACACACAAAATCTTTTACCTCTATGGCTCTTTTGGCGAATTTGGAAAGCATGAAACAATTTCATTTCAGTAAAATCTGAGAAAGCTAATCAAAGATCGTTCTAAAAGCACAAGCAGAAGTAGGGATTGGATTGATGATGTTGTAACTTGCGGCCTTTTTGCATATACAAGCAAGAAAAACTGCAACTCAGGAACCAACATGGTCAATACCATCTCTACCGTTTATTAAGTGTAATTTTGAAGTGTGTTTCGATACAAATACATCTCAGGCCACAAGTAGATAGATTGGATTATACGTGATCATACCCTTTCATGGGGTTCGACTAAGTTGGAACATGCTTCTTCCCCACTAGGAGCTGAGACAAAAGCATGCACTATGTACTGGCTATGCAACAAGTTTGGGTTCGGGGATTCAAATATGTTAGTTTTGAAGAAGACTGTAAGGTTCTAATCGACATCATCAACTGATCAATGAAGCGCTGCAAAATATCGAATATACTTTTGAATATTTATTTAAGTAACTCCCAAGTTTTCATCTACGTGATTTTGCTATATTAAGCGAATATGCAATAATGCTGCACATAATCTAGCTAACTTTGGTTATAATATTTCTTGTTTTTATTCTGCTTCTGTAGATCAACCGATGTGGCTAAAACAACAACTTTGTACAGATTTGATTAGCTCAATCTAATTCTGGTTTGACGGAAAAAGAAATCTTTATAAACTCTGCTTTTAGCAATACAAATAGAAAAATAATTGATTTTTTTAAAAAAAATCTTTATATACTTGGTATGTATTTGGCTGACTGAGTAAAGAATGTATAAGCTTTGCATTTGTGTTTCCTTTGTAAATGTCTCTTTATGTACTCAAAACTCATATATAACAACCAAATCTTAATCTCTCTAATGAAAACTAAAAATATTATATTACGAATTGAGATACCATTACAAATCACTTTAATAAGTAAGACCCTTAGAACCATGGGATCAAAAAATCGTAAGCCTCCATTAACGGTCATCGAGCATTTTCATTCGTGTATTTTCCTTGTTTCAGGTTTTCTTAAAACGTTTGTTTCATGAATGATCCAGACTAAAGGGATGTTTTTCATGAGTTTAACTGTTTAAGAATGAGTTTGAGAATCAGGGGCCTAGTTTTGTTTATTCAGATGTCTCCTCTTTTCCAAAGACAGAATCATGTGTGAATAAAAGTGACTTTTGATAGTCGTCTCAATAGTGATGCCAAGTCACGTGAAGTGGTCGAGCT